ATTTGATATTATTTTTTATTCGGATAAATATTTAATTTAATTTTTTATATTATTAAAAAAATATAAAAAATATCACTTAATATTTTATGTTGATTTTTTTTATTAGTGATGTAAGACCCATTTGAATAGATTTGGTGCCATGTCAACCAAAGGTAAATTTCTTTATTAGTGATGTGGGACCCATTTGAATAGATTTGGCACATAGTAACATGACATGTCAAAATATTTGTCCATGTCATCACTTTTCTAAATTTTTCTCTCCACGTCATAAAAAAAAATATAAAAAATGCCACATAAGCGAAGTTAACGGCTCAAATTAACAGAAGGACTAATGGAGTGCATTTCTTATAGTTGAGGGATTAAAAAAGTGCAAAAAATTGTTGAGGGATCAAAAATGTGCATGTTTTAAAGTTGAGGGACCAAATTTAGCATTTAACCAAAACAGAATGTTTGAGGCAGCGCAGCACCAACTGGCTTTCAATCCTCAGCCGGTTCTACACACAGTATCATATATGGACCGATATCGGTCAGTATATATAACTGCTAATATATACGGACCGGTATCGGTCCGTACAAACATGGAACCTAACATTGACATCTAAATCAGGTGACAATCTGTTTTGATATATACGAATCGATATCAGTCCATATATACTTGTTTGTGCCACCAGACGTTGTGCCATTATGTACATACCATGTATATACAGACCGAAATCGGTCCATATATAATTGTTTGCGTTGAACCGGCTCAAAAATGAAAGCCGACTGGTGCTGCATTGCCTCGAACATTTTGTTTTTTTGGATTGAGTCGGTCGTAAAAATTCTACAACCAGCTTAACAGGCCTTGATTTTTTACAGGATATATACGGACCGAAATCGGTCCATATATAGTTATACAGACCAACTTCGGTTCCAATATATACCAACCTAAAGCTTTCTCCTTGTTTTCCTTATCTAATGCTCAATTCATTATACTCTTGTTTCAAACTATAACATTCCGAATGTTGACGTGCCAAAGTGGTTAAACTTACCCAAAAAAATCAATTTTACTTGCTTCTGGCTCCAAAAAAACATTACGTAACCTTATATCTAATAATCTTGTACTTATACATTCAAGGTTT